GGGAAGAAATGAAAGTGTATTCATTAATTTCACAGGTAAGAACATGAGGCCAAGATTCTATTAGAATTCACTTTAACACTGACAACTGGATAAAAGGGGTTAACTAGAGGATTAAACTGAATGGAAGTAAGTCCAATCAGGCTAGAGAGAAAGGAAGGAATCGATGATGAAAAAGCAACAGGGCAGCATGAAAAATAAAATACTTCTTAAGCACCAGATTTCCTAATCGCGAAACTGAGAATGGAACTAAACGAGCAATGTTTCGTTGCCAAGGTAATCTCACATCCCCAGCCTCCTCTTTCAAGCTGTCTTTCACTTACTTACACACGGAACATATCACCTAACTCACAGTCCTAGGCAGTTTAGGAACCTGTGAACCTCAATGAACCCCATTCCCCAACTGAGTCAGGAGTATAAATTAAAGCATTTGCAAATCACTGCTGGCCCTGAGCAAATATTAATCCAAGTTTGTTTCTTTTTTTAACCACAATATGGCAGAATACAAATTGCATTTTAATGCTATGTATTCCAACAAGGGGATGTGGACACATAGAATATAAGAAACTAAAAATACGAGTGCCCAGAGTGGTAGTGTACACTTGCATACCTAGTATTAGACAGGCTGAGGCAGGAAAATCTTGAATTTAAGGCTGGACTAGGCAACTTAGTGCCTGTCTTTTTAAAAAGTAAACTCAGTTTTAATAGTAATAGATTCATCTCTAAAGCTCACTGAGTCTGGAAATTCAATCCAGGCTCGGAAAAGATCATTAAGCAGTCAATACTCAGACCCATAAGACAAGTCTCCTACACCACAATTATCTAAGAAAAGAGCAACTAAAAAGTAGTGTAAGTACTTAAGAATTCTTTCACAAATGTTGATGGGGAGGTGATAGAAAAAACAAAAAAGAAACTAGCTTTCAAATTAGAACATGAAAGAGTTTATATATCATGAACTTTCCCATATTACCTAGGCAGTAAGGTCCAACAGATTAACAAAATCACTTCCAGACTCTTTCCATGGCTTCTGGTTTTTAACCTGGAAAGAACCAAATGATCCCCATGGCACTGTATTTAGTTACCATGCAAAAATTTTTCTTGGCTGTCTGAAGCTTTTGGTTCACAGAAAAGATAGCTCCTATTTTCCAACTGATTCCAAATGATTCAAATACACTAAGATGAGAAATCATCAAGATGAGAGCTATCTGTGAAGTAAAACTCACTAAAGTAACTGAAAATATAAAATCAGCTCAGCTGAGCATAGAGGCTGAGGCAAGTTTGCTACAAGTTGGAAGCCATCCTGGGCTATACAATGATTTTAAAGTCAGACTGTGCTACAAAGCAAGAACTTGTCTCTGTTTGGAGGGGGAAAAAAAAGGCTCAAAAGCAGTAGAATGAAGGTACTTCCAAATCACATGATTTCTTCGATGCTAGAGTTAAGGAGTCAGATATGATACTACTTTCAAACAGAAAATTCAGATAATCTCTGAAATTCTAATTAAGATAGATACTATCCCCAAAACCATGGAAATTATATATGTGTGTGTGTGTGTGTGTATATATATATAATATAATATATATATATATATATATGTGTGTGTGTGTATGTGTGTGTGTGTGTGTGTATAATATAATATATTATCTACCCTTTGGGACATGAGAACCACAAACCTAAGACCTCTACACATATCCCAAGCCACCCACAGAACAAAAGAGAACAATATCCCGTAGTTAAACTAAACCCTCATATTCTCTACATGACATTTCTACATAAACTATAAATAGATCCTACAAAGCTCCAACTTGCTTTGGTAGCACACACCTGCAATCCCAACACTGGCGAGGCAGAGGCAGAACTGCTTAGAGTTCAAGGTCAACCTGGGCTACATGGTGAATTCAAAGCCAGTCTGAACTACACAGTGAGACCTGTCTCAAAAAGAAAGTTAGCTAGCTAACTCCAACTTGCAAAGAATTTTTATTAAAAGTACCTCAATATATAAAGGTACATCTTGAAAAAATGTCAAATAAACATAAAAGTCCAATGAATCACTTTTTCAAATATCAAGTTCAAACAAGTATAGGCACCCCAGCTGGTAAACATCTACATATGGAACAGTTTCTTTATCATAGGAGACACTCAGACACACACACACTTTATAAAAACAATGCCAAAGAAAAATTAGTTATAACTACTGATCATACCTAGACAATAATAAAGATGATTTCTTTCCTTTACAGTTAACTTGTAAGGAACTATACTCTGACAGCTAACCTGGAGCCCATTCCCCATAGTTAATAACACCAGGCACTGACTCCATTTTAGATTTTCATCTAGGGGGCTTCCCAGACAGAGGAATGATAGAAATCTTATGAATATCAAGTTGCTACTTTATGCCAAAATATGGCATTCCCAAAGGATGCTCTGTCTAGAATTCGTGGGAGAATCACACACAAATGTTCTATTTACTCAGGTCTTCCAAAGCAGCTGGGCATATTTGTGTGTGGAGGGGTGGGGGAACTCCCAACGATTCAGCCCTGAGAATCCAAGATTCTATAAAAAAGCAGTAAATTAGGGTTTGGCAAGTATTTGCTGACTACTCAAGCCAGCAAAAACATTTACTTGAGGCTTTTAAATCTGTAAGGATACCCAGTGGTTAGGTACTGTAATTCTCAATCTGAAAAAAACAAATAAGGTCCCTGGACAAGTTACTAAATACAGGCAGGGTGGAGGAGATAGGCACATTTCCTTTGTTTTCTCCAACTCAACAACAGGGACTGTACAAATACAAAACATGACTCTCCATGTATCAGTCCCTATAAACTGTATACTGTCTTATTAAAAAAAAACTAGAAATTTATACTTTTGAAAGTCCACATCCAACTTCTAAACAAGTTAGCTCAAAAAAGGAAAGAGCCCATACTTTCCAGCAGAAACTGAAAATCAAACGTTCAAAAATACTTATTCTGCCATATAAACCCCACTTTCTTAAATAAAGTGGCAAAATACAACTCTTGTAGGTCACTAACCACAGTAATATGAGAGTGGTGATTCAGAGCAGAAACCGATGTTAAACATAACTACACAATATTACTAATTACAGAGAAATTTTACCAATAAATATTTTAGTTGAGGACTGCTTTGTCATCTTTGCAAGTATTTTTAGTTGAAAGCAAGTGGTTGGGTAGAACACGTGGACATGGTTCTGATTTTTAAATACCTATTTTTACATTCTGGTCACTGGTTAGGTTTTCTAAACTCAATTCTTTAGAACTGGTAATTTGGAAAGGGTAAACCACAAGTACGTTAAGTTAAAAAGCAAAAGATCTAACAAGCTCACCAACTCAGATGAGCACAGAGCTAATTTAGAACACGATGGATTATCACAAATCTAACCAGGCCCCTTTGTCAATAATTCCGAGGGGTGTTTGGATGAGCAAACTGTACTAACACTAGGTCTCCAAAAACACCAAGAGTTTCTATGTCTCCTTGTCTTCTATTTGCAGTTAATTTTTGGTGGGCCTCTCTTCAGATTCCTTTTCTGAATGTCTGACTGCTGCTTTCTATGTGGACTTATTTTAAATATATACTCAATTGCTGCAAGTATTCCATAGCAGTTTAAATTTTTATACAAAATCGCAAATATTCTAGAAATTGATGATATGCTAGAAAAATGATTTGTGCTAAATGAATTTTTGGACATTTTTAATCTTTTACAACAAACCTCATCCCATTTAGACCTGAAGCTCTGTTCATCCACATTTTCTCTCAAAGGTTTTTGAACACAGTGCTCTTACTACCATACTACTGGAGGTGAGTTATGACTAGGTCTTTTTTTAAGGAGGCATGTTTTAGAAGGAGAAAAAACTAACTGCCCTCTCCTATTATTTTTAATTAGCAGCCTCTTGTTTAGAGCAATAGATCTGCACACAAGACCACTACTTACTTCAGTAGGAATTCTGCCCAAGAAGTGAGTGAGGAACACTGACGAGATTAAATTAGCCCTAAATATACCATTGTTTCAAGCCATTACCGCTTGTACAGTTCTCCAACAACCTCCAAAGAAGAGCAGATCTCCGAGGCTGGATAGGGGTTCTCAAAGTGAACTGCAGGAAAATCACTGCAGCTCTGACAGGTGACACCACAGAGCTCCGTAAAAGTTGTGTGAAACTTGCAGCCTGACGGATGGATGGTCCCGGCAGGCCTTCACTGCAATTCAAGGCTGCACAGAGATGCAGCCCCAAGCAGGGCTGCGACAGCAATCTGGTGGTTTCTCAGAAAAGCGTCTGCGAACGGAAACTAGGTAGGATTAATTGCTGCTCCTTCCCCGCTAAAACCTGTTTGAAGACTGAGCATTCTAAATCCCAGCCCCCACAGCCAAAAACCCGCCCCAAGTTTCCCACAGGTGCTAAACCACTGGGAAACGACGACATTAACCTAAGTGTTCGTTTTCAATACACTGCTATGAATGACAGAGAATACAGACACGACAAATTCCGATGAACGAAGAATAACAAAAAGAAAAAAAAAACAGGTAAATACAAAGAGGGCTGAACAAAATAAAAAGGTAAACTGTAAAGTCGTGTTTTAAAAAAGCATTAATAACAGGCACCAGAGGAACAAGACACCTGGCAGACATACACATGGTATTTCAGATGCAAGTCCAAAAACCTGCGGAAACATGTGATTCGGGAAAAAAATAAATCCACTTTCCCTTTCGCCCACCCAGGACTCTGAAAAAAGGGGGAGGCCTTTCTATGACAGGGTCATTACTGCAGCGCGACCTCGGTCTGGAGAGAAGGCTGCACACAGCGACCTCTCTCTCCCCAAAAATCTCGTTCTAAGCGACAGCGCTTCACCAAAGCAAGCTTGACCTGCAGGGGGCTGCATCTGGGGAAAGCAGGGTGCCTGCCGCCCCCGCACCAGCGAGCTGTGGGGACCACGAGGTCTCCCGCTGGGGACGGGGTCGCGCGTCCCCACTGCACTCCCATCGCCTGGTTCCCACCTTGTGCCCAGGCGCGGGAGCCCGGAAAGCCGCCTAGGTTGGGGATCTGCGAATCGATCGAGGAACCGACGCGCGAGGACTCGGCGGCGCGCACACGGGGGCAGTGGGTGCGCGTGGGGCCGGTGTGTCGCTGCTGCCCAATCCTAGCAGCGCCGCCGCCCGGGATGAAGCCGGGCTCCGGGTCAACGCAGTGCTTGCAGGCCCCCAACGTCCCGCGGGGAAGGAAGCAGGACGCAGGCCCAGCGGGAACGAGGGGAGCGCGCAGGGGCCACAGACCCCACGCCGCCGCCGCCGCCGCCGCTTCCTGCCAGGACCCGCGTCCGTGCAGCCTGAGGCGACCCGGGCCGCGCCGCAGCGCCTCAGAGGCCGGGCTGCCACCCACGCCGCGCGCTGCTCGCTCCTTACCCTGCCGCCGCTGTGGCTCTCGGTAACTGGTTCGCCCGCCCGCCCGCCCGTGGGACCCGTCCCACTCCGGTCGGTCCCGGCCGTCGGCCCGCCGCGCCGCCTCCTCCTCCTCCTTCTCCTCCCCTCCCTCCGCTCGGTTTCAAATTGAAATTCCCCGGCTGGGGCCGTCGGCTAGCTCGGCGTGCAGCCCCGCCCCCTCGCGGCGGAAGCCCCGCCCCCGCCCGGCGCGCGCCGGCCCGCCGCGGGAAGCCCCGCTGAGTGGCCACACCCCCTGCCCTGCGCCGGCCGGCCCCGCCCCCGCGCCTGTGGCCAGGGGTCCCGAAGGATTTGCGGAACTCCACTTCGCCCCCAACGCCCCGGGTTCCTGGCGCTGCAGGGACTCGCTCGGCCAGCGGAGGCGCCCGGAAGGACAGCTAATGTGTGTGCGCGGCCTCGCGCCTGCCAAGCCTGGCCTTAAATGCCCTCCCAACTTCTAAAAGTTGTTTCTTCAAAGTGCATTCACTGACTCGGTTCGGTGGCGGACCGTAGAGTTAAGTCTAGGAGACACAGAAAAGGGGAAACTGGGTTCCCCTCGGTCTGAAGTGAAAGAAATGCTTTCATAGAAAAGCCCTGAACAGGGGCCATTTATTCTTCCTGTGCGAGGCCCGGGAGGGCGTGGGGAAGCCCTGTAGAGGAAAGGCCTCTCGATGCTCGACCCGAAAAGGGAGCAGCATTTCTCCAGGCCTGGGAATCTGGATTGCAATTCCAGGCAGAGCTCAAGAGGCAACTGGGGAAACCTGAGCTGGGGCCTGAATCAAACCTGTGGCCGCATGCACACTTGCACACACCACCCTCCCTCCCGATTTCTCTTTTGTGCAATTAGGCCACTTATGACATTGGTTCTGAGCATTTTGCCTGTCAAACTGGTGACAGGGTGGCCAGGTCACTGCAGGTAGCATCCACCACGCTTGACTTCTCCTTTGCCTCCTACTTCTACTGAGATATGTAGTGATCCTATCCATGCCTATCTCCTTTTCTGTTTTAAACATAACCTTTTGTAAAATTAAGCATGTTGGCGAGGCAAAGTGGTCTACAGCTGTAATCCCAACACTTAGGACACTGAAACAGGAAGATCAGGAGTTTGAGGCCAGCTTGGACAATTTAACAGGATCCAGTTAAAAAAAAAAATAAAATGTCAAACGAAATCTCAGCTACCATCATTTCTGTGTGCATGACGCTCTTCAAGTACCAAAACACAATCACATATTTTATCATTTGAACCTCACAATACCCTATGAAAAAGGTAGGGTGGCTATTGTCATTAGTTAAAGAGAGCGAGAAGACAAGTGATTTGCTAACATTCTTCTGATAAATAATAAAAACAAAAGCACCTAGCCTTTATTGTGTGCTGCATGCAGTGCACATTTTCTAAGTCCTTAACTTGTTGATTCCTTTGATAGCAGTCCCATATGCTGACTGTAAAAGGGTGCTAACCAAAAGTAGATCCTGATTACACACAGCTCTGGGGAAGACAGGAAAAAAAAGAGAGAGAGAAAGAAAGAGAAGCTGGGAATTTGTATATGTGTGTGTTCCATGGCAAAATAACTAAGAAAAACAACTTCTAAGAAGAAACTTATTTTTGCTAAGGATTTCTGACGCTGGTTGCTGGACCCAGTCTTTGGCCCTATTCCAAGGCTGAACATCATGGCAAGGGTTCACAGTGCAGCAGAGCTACTTACCTCATGACAGCCAAGAAGCAAAAAGAAAGGAGGAGGCTGGAGGACCCCAATAGTTCCTTCTAGGACCTCCTACTGTAACCTGATTTCCTTTAACTAATAGCACCATTAGCACTCAATCAAAGCTTCAATACATGAGCTTTTCAGGGACATTTAAGACCCCAGCTGTACAGCATCCCCATACTTTCAGCTACTAGGAAGACTGAGGCAAGACTGAAAATTCAGAGGCTTGTCTGGGAAACGTCATAAGATTCTAACCAAAAGGAAAAGGACTAGGGATGTAGTTCAGTCAGACAGAGCTTGCCTAGCATGCACAAAGCCATAGATTCACAAAAATAAACCAGATGTGGTGGCGCATGCCTGTAGTCCCAGCACTCAGGAGCCTGAGGCAGGAAAATCATCATGAGTTGGAGGTCAGCCTGGGCTGCATGGTGAGTTCAAGACCAGTCTAAAGTATGTAGTGAAACCCTATCTTTTATTATTATTATTATTTAAAAAATTAATAACACAAGTCAGAACATAACAATTTAAGCAACATAGTGTTTCACCACAAGATAACCCAATATAACAGTAGCTACCATAGTGTCTCTTTCCTTGAAATATTTGAGTATAACTTCGTATATTATAGCATCAAACACAACATGACAGTGTAAAACCATTCAAGAGAGTGAAAGTATTACAGGGTATTTAGAACCAACTAACAGGAAACGAACAATGGTTTCTATATTATCTCCTTGTCTATAAAAAAATTTGTTTATATTATCACATTTAATAAAATCCAATAACATACAACATAATAAACTGATGGAGACAGAAGAACAAAAGTTTCATGGGACTTCAAAATAAGATGATATTATATCAGCACTAGCTATTATATTGTCTTGTTTTCTTCAAAATAATTGTTCATATCATAACAGACAATAAAATCAAACAACCCAGAATAGAACCATTCCAATTAATGAAAACATTATAAGGTTCAAAGCAATATAATGGGGAATCATGTTTACTACATACTTTTATGTATTCTTACCATTTCTTACACTGGGGAACCTATTCGGTATTTATACATGTGAGTTTGATTTATTTCGCTTATGAGTATGGTCTCAAGCTGCACCCATTTATTTATAAATATTTCAATGTGATCATTCTTTATAGCTGAGTAGTACTCCATTGTATAAAAATACCACTTTTTTATCCATTCCTCAGTTAATGGACAATTAGGTTGATGAGAACTTGTCTTGAAAAACCAAAATAAGGCAAAATAAAAAGACACAAATGGGCATAAGTAATAAAATATAATGCCCTTAAAGGAAATTATACCCTTATATATTCTCTGTTGACACATGTGAGTCACTTTTACACAAAAGTTTAAAAAGACTATTAATAAGCTAAATTATATCCATAAATAGGTGATCTTGAGAGTATGGAAGCCAGAAAGATTTAGCCTAAAGAGATCATGGAAGGTAATTGGAAGGTTGTAACCAGATATGCAAAGGCTATTGTGTGGAAGAGTAAGACCCTGTGGTGTGACCATACATTTGCCTGGCCCCAACATGGAATGAGCAGATTCAGTGAGGACCTGGAAGGAACCGACAGTATGAAAAATCAACTTCCAGGAACTCTAAGGATGTGAAGAAAACAGATGAAATATGGTGCTGGAGGTGTCAGGAAACAACAGGTGGTAGTCCAGGCAGGCAGAGCTGGATAACAGGGCTGAGACAAGGAGGAAAAGCAGAAAGGAGGACAAAGTCCTGAGCTGGTGATATCCTCAGACGCAGGCAGCCGAAACACTGCCAGGAATACAGGCAGCTCAAGGGCAGGACATTAATCCTGAGGAAAACAAACTGATAAAAACAAGACTGGGTCTTCCCATGAGCCAGATGATAGTAACAGGCAAGGACTGACACAGAGAACCAAACAGAGGTCTAGATTCTAGACCTAACAGTCCTCACCTACAAATGGCATTGCCCCTCTCAATCCTGGGCACTTCTACAGGCAAAGCCAGTCAATTAGACAGTGTGCACTAGAAATTTACCTAGGGCCCCTTAACTCCCTTTATTACCAATTCAGCATCCCTGTCGGCATCTCTCTTTCTTAATCTCACAACTGGTGCTGGTTTTTGTTGATTTAGATCCAAGATGGTCCCAAAAGTCTCATGTGACTGTATCAAAAGGATGCTATTAGGAATGTGCTAAACATGCTGTTGGGAGGTAGAGTGTGATTGGAGAAGGTAGGTCACAGGGGACCTGACCCGGAAGCGTATACGTCCCTCCGACCTCCTCCCCTCTCATTGCTTCCTATCCTCCATGATGTGATCAGCTTTTCCTCTACCACATCCTTCTCCCATGCTGTTTCTGCTTTAGAGCCAGCTGACCATGGACTGAAGCTCTGAGCCAAAATAAACCTTTCTTCTTTTAATTTGTTGGTAAGAGGTATTGTGTCTCAGCAACAAGAAAGCGACTAAGTCTGTTAACTGAGGGACGTAATTTCTCAGCCACATAAACCCTTACCTCCTCTGTACTGTCTCTGTGTGTACATACATGCACATGTGCACACACTCCTCTCAACTCCTCCCTCTCATTCTGTTGACCTCTCCAGAAGGATAACCCACACTTTTTACGTGGCACCTGGCTACCAAGAGGATAAAAATAAAAGCTACAAGGCCTACAAAGACTAGGCCCAAGAGTCATGCAACATCACATGTCCCATTCTGTTGCTCAGAGCAAGTCAGAAGGGCAGCCATAATCCAAAAAGAAGGATCACAGACTTCTCCCCTTGCTAGGAACTGTGGACTACATGCTGAGAAAGCCTGGGTGCAGCCATCTTTGTCAACAATTTACCACAGATGCAGGCTTTCCTGTTCTAATGTCATAGAGACTTCCCTTGAGCAACTCCTTTCATTCCCATCTACAGAACACTTTCCACAGGGTTTCCATTAAAAACACCACCAAGGACCCTTTTCCATCTAAGTAACAGAAAGTGATGGTAATCTCCTTTGAAAAGCCGGGTGGGGTTGGGGGGGACACTAGTAACAGGTCCAGCATCCCCAGCCTGCCTACTGAGGTCTT